CTCGGGGCGTCTGTTAAAATTAAAAAAAAAAAGCGTTACGCGTGACGAAGAATCACGCAATAGTATAGGGGAGATATAGGTAATTTACCAAGAGAATAAAAAAAAAATTATTTACAGTAATAAAAAAAAAATAAAATTTTAATTCGTTAAAGTAGTATCAGTTAACGTTAAAGGTTATGATTACGCATGTAAACAGTAAGGTTAGTATTATGATAATGCATGTAGGAAGTGAGTTTAGCATTATGATTGCACGTGTGAATTGGTAAGTAGGAGGGAAAGGGGTGCTTAGCCAGGTTAAGAGTCTTAGTTCAGGCGAAAGTTGGTTATTCTTCTGTTCGCTATCGCTCGCCTTGATGAAGGCTGGCTCTATTGACCCTCCCTACCCACCCTTGATAAGTGGCTCAGCGGCTTGATATAGCGCAATGACCACTGTAAGCTTAATAACACCGCAGTTCATAGATGTCTAGCTCCGAGACTGCATTAGCAGTGCAAGGACTAGGCTCAACTAAATGTACCTTATTATTACACAATTTCGATCCTCTGAATATCACTATCTGATTGTTAAATCCTTCCAGAGGTTATATTTAAATAGTTATCGGTGTTTGTGTTATATTACATTGAAACTATTGTTTCGGTTAAACATCAAATCTGAACCGTTCGAAATGAGGTTCAATGTTTAAGTTTATGTTCAAGGCAATACCTTTAGCACGATTGAGAGTCTTAGGATAGCAGATCTATTCCCATATGTTTTTCTTCGAATTGACAATAAAGTCTCTGATCGATGTTTCTATTATAATCGATAATCGATTTTAGTGATGAAAATCCTTAGATTTTGATTGATTCTAATCGATTTTTAAAACTTCCAAATGTTTATAATATTTGAATAATATTAAATAACCAAGGTTTTAGAATAATGCATGTATTAATTTGCATTGAGATTTTATCTGGTGGACGCTCAATTAAACTTGGTGAGCTGCATAAACTAAATTTCTTTTTTGGTAAAATCTTTTCATCTATAATTTGATTTAATGTATGATTTGAATTATCGTTATGAGAAAATTATTTCAGGAAGTGATTGTCGGAGTAATCATGTAACCTCATGTTTCATACGTTTTTAGAAACTTTCTGAATATTTTTATTAATTACGAATTAATGAAAATCAGGTGCTGTTTTTTTCCTATAATAAGGTAACAAGTAATAACCAATATTTAAACTCTTACAGAACCAAATTTTTTTGTTAAGTTATCAGTTATAAAACAAATAATAACCATGATCTGAAGTTTTGTCTTGTTATTCGTTTTTTTGGCCGCACTTTCTATGGTCAATGCTTTTCCATCTCAACTGGTTAAAAGGCAGACTTCATTTGGGAGATGTCCGCCTCTATTTCCTCAAGATATTCAAATAATCACTGATGTAACACTTAATCCTGATCCTCCAAAAGCTAATTCTCAACTCGAGGTTAAAGGTTCAGCAACGATCAATGATGATATTGTTGATGGCTATGTATTCAAAGCTCGAATTTGTGATACTGATTTTGCTAAATGTCAATACCTCAGCACTATACTCATTTGCGAAACAACCCAGTGTCCAACTAAAGTGTTTAATTTTGACGTGATATTTAATTTAGAAAGTTTGCCTTCATCATACACCATTGGGGTTGTTATTTTTAATCTGAATGTGTTTTTGCTTGTGGATATGCTCAAGTCCAATAGTTTTTATTTCATAATTTAATTCTTTTTACTTTTTATTTTTTATTTTTTTTTCGAATATATATAATTAGTTAAGTTTTTTTTATTCACTTTAAAACAAAATTTGCTTAATTAATGGTAAATAGGTAAAAATATATAAACTTTGCAATTTCATATTGCAGCTTATCATCCTTTTATTTAAATAGGGTTATTACAATATGTAAAATAGTCTTTTTGTAATTGTGTTAAAAATTGTCAGTAATTTAATAGACAATACTTCTGTCATCTGGAGAAGATCTGCAAATATTTATAAGTAAATATTACTATTGAGCTAAATGTGGAGTACTAAGTAAATCACTCTTTGGCTTCTAATCAAAGTTGTAAGGCTCAACAAGATACATCTAATAGTAATAAGAATGTTAAAATTAGCCTTGTGGTTCTTGAGAAATCTTTAAAAAACATTTTGCCAGTATATAAAATTTCTTTAAAAAAAATTGATTTTTTTTAAAGAAATTTTATATGTCAGTAAAATGTTTTTTAAAGATTTTCAAGAACCACAAGGCTGATTTTAACATTCTTACCACTGTTAGATGCATCTTGATAAGCTCTATAACTTTGTTAGAAGCCTAAAAGTGATTTACTTAATAAAAAAAAGTTTTAGATTGAAACACTTCACATTTGGCTCAATAGTAATACAGTCAAACCTTTTTATAATCACATCCTTGGTTTTAAGAATTTAGTGTTTATAGAGAGTTTGTGCTTATATAGAGGTTAAATTTTATAAATGCTATATAAGCTGGTTTTAAAATTTTATATAACTATAAGTAAATGTGACTATAGAGGAGATGACTATAGAGAGGTCTGACTATATTTACTTATAAAAATTTGCAGATCTTTTTTAGATAACAAGATATATTGTCTATTAAATTTATAACTTTTGTTTAATAATTTTTTTAGCTTGAATTTATTTTCTAATAATCAATTAAATAA